AAATTTATTCTATACACAATTAGTTAAAAATAATAGATATCGTCATTTATTTCATAATTTTAATTGAAATTTTAAGTCTAAATTATATAGTACAAAGTTTTATAATTGTTAAATTTTCTTGTAAAATCAAAATGTGGATTTATATTATTTATTTTTGTATCTTTATCAAAATTAGGTTAAGTTAATTTGGTTTTGATAAAAAGATAATATTTTAATCAATAATAAGATCTCTTATAGTGGGTTAGACTTTAATTCTGTTTGAGAAAACAATTGGTTTGTCAAAAACACAAAAGAAAAAGTACTATTATCATACCTATTTGACATGAACAAATCATTAACATGAACAAACCTATTTGATTTATTTCAATCATAATCAATAAATATTAAGAACAAATAAATATCACATAATTGACATATCAAATAATAAATTGAGAAATATCAAATAATAAAGAGAGTTTCAAAAACTCAAAAAAATAAAAGAATGATAAAAAATAAAATGAAAAACAGAACTAAAAAAGGAAAAAATAATATATAAATGTAGTTCTGATTTTTTTGTTTTTGTTCTTTTTAATTTTTATAAGAATAAAAAAACTCCTGATTTGCAGAAAAAGAGAGAGGAGAGGGAGATTGATAGGGAGAAAGGATTTTTTTGGAAAAAAATAACTCTCTTAATAAGTGATGTATTTAAAAAAAAAAAAGAAGAGAAAGCTCCTAATTGGAGCTTTTTTTGAACTCTTTTTTCAGGAGTTTATTTTTAAAAAAAAATTACTTTTTTTAAGAGATTTTTACGAAATTTTATTTAGCTCAGCTTCTACTTTTAAATAGTAGATAAGCTAAATATAAATCAAGCCAACCGGTACTTAGACATGATGTATTTAAAAATTTAATTTGGATTGAAAGATAAGCTGTTTTAAAAGTGTGAAAAACATAGCAAAGAATCAAGAAGAGTTGAACTTGAATTTTTTTATATGAGAGTATTTGTTTAATAAAATCTTAAATTATAAAAAAAATTTATCTTTTCATATAATATTTAAATATTAATATATAAATTATTTTTTAATAAATCTACTTTGACTTAGACTCATTAACCCACCCCCTACAAAATTACAAAAAAAAAAAGTGTATTCATTTATATATTAACTATATAAAACTTTAAATTAGTAGTATAAATAACAAGTAAACAATTTTGACAAATAAGTGGTCACATTCTAAGGTAGATCCACCCATGTCCATTGTACTAGTCCTTAGCGAGCATCGATCTTGGTGCTCTAAGGGGAGCACTACGGAGCACCGGATTAGCACTCCTCAAATATGGTACTTCCTTAATGAGAACTGACAAGATCTGACATTTTATGATTAGATTCAACCACGAGATGGTCGGTCGAGATAAAAAAGTGTTATCAGTTAGCATGAAAGACAAGAAAAAAAGTGAAAAATGAGTTAAGATATTTTAGATATTTCATATTTAGACAATAAAATCGTTTACATGTTTAGGATAAAAGTGTCGATTTTGAAAATTAATAAATTCATCTATAATTATAATAAAAAATTTAAAAAATCCATGTATTTTATCTCTTTATAATGTATTAAAAGGAAAGTTGCTCAAGTATTTATTGACATTTGATTAAATTTTTATAATACACTTTGGCTCAGTTAAAACGTAACACATTGCATTTTTTCTTTTCTTTTCTTTTTTAATTTGTATCATACCCCAATAATCCAAAGTCAAAAAGATAAAAGAGAAGATGACCCTTTAATTTCTGCATGATCAACCATCTTCTATTAAAATTTTAGTAATATTTTAAGATTTGAAAAAAAAGAAAAAATATATTTTAATTAATAACAATTAATTATCTATTAATTATAAAATTTATTTGATTTAAAATAAGGATATAATAACTTAAAAATAAAGATTTATTTAAATTTTTTAAAATAATTGAAGTATTTTTTTGAGTATTAATATATTACAATTATTACTACAAATTGAAAAATAACAGAGACAATAAGGGAGCAGATTAAACAATGAAAAGAGTAACAATTAATATATCACAATTAGTTCTGTTCAAAATGTTTTTCTTTTTGTTTTCTGTTTTTGTCTGTCATTTCTCTTTTGCTTGTTGTGCATCATCTCGTTCATTCGAAACTTGAACTTAGAGAATCAGCACGTAATAAGGAGATTTTTCTTAATTGTATCTATTTAAAGTATTTTATTTCATCAAACTAATAAAAAAATTTTCAAAACTTTCTCGAGAACCAATCAATTTTTTTCAAACTTTCATTTAAAATTTATTGATTTTCAAATCTATCTCCAAATCTTTCTAGATCCCATGAGCTTACTTAGTTACCATCAATTAACCCCAACTTGAAACTTGCTAAATTCTTTTCATTTTTTGAGTGTTTGAGATATTGTTTTTTCTAAATTTTTATGTAGTGTTTAAATTATTTTTAAATTTTTTATTCAATTGTTTTCCTTGGAATTAAAAAGCATATTCAATTTTGTAAATTTTCATGGGAAGTCCATCTGTAATCAATTCATCAAAATTCTTTTCAAACAAAAATTCATCATTTTTTATTTTTCATCTGTCTAATTATTTTGCTTGCTCATATAGTTTTTTATTTCGATTCTGAATAAAAAGTGAATTTTTAAGAGGGGTTTATTTTTAATATTAATGAATTAAAAATAAATTATAATCAAAATTCAAAAAGTAGAGGTAATTTATTTATTTTATTACAACAGCTAAAAGGCTAATATTTTTTCTCTGGATTTCTATTCGGTGAACACATATACAATGTAATGAAACGAAAGTCACCAAACTATTTAATGACATTTGGTTAAATCTTTATGACACACTTGGTTCAGTTACAACGTAACACGTTGCATTCTCGTTTTTCTTTTTTTAACCTCTAATATACCCCTAATAATCCAAAGTCAAAAAACTAAAAGAGGAGATGAACCGTTGATATCTTCATGATCAACGGTCCTCCATTAAAACACTAATAATATTTTAATATTAAAAAAAAAGAGAGAAAAGGCCAAATACAAGTAGCCGTTGGCATATTGTATACGTTCTTTTTGTAATGATAGATTATCTGACCGTTGAGACAAGCCAATGGAGATCCGTTACTGAGCATCCCTCAATCTTGAACCAAAGCTTTTTGACTTTGTTGCCACTTCACTGATAAACTCGAGAGAGAGAGAGAGAGAGAGAGAGAGAGGTGAAAATCTTTTGAGTTTTGAAGAGAAAAAACAGTAACTGAAACCAAACCCAGATTACGTTATCAACTCCCCTTG